ATAAAATGCAATCCTGTAATAATTACAGTTCCAAAGTGCTGAATAATGGTAATAGTTGTCACCACCACCACCTTTGCCTAAGAAAGTCAACCACTGAGAGCCTTCCATCTCTGCTTTTAACCTTGGAAGTAAAAATATTATTTTGGGTCAGCATTAAGGCTTTTTATTCTTGAATAGCTTCTCTTGGAACTTATTCTGTATTTCTTCATCAAAGCTGTTGGTATAGTGAAGGTCAGTACAAAATTTATATATATATAGAAGTAGTAATTTTTATCATTTTATTCCCCCCAAAATATTATCTGCATGACTCTCTCATTTTCGTGTGACCTAATTGTTCTATAACCTTGAAAATTCCCATATGTTCCTGGTTATATTAAAATTGATTGTGTGTGCCCATCAGCAAGGTTTACATGCAAAATAAAATCCAATTTCTTACTTTTAAAATTGGCTTTAAGGAAAACTGAGTAAAAAAATATATCTATATATATATATCAATTATCAAAGTCAGTAAATCTGGTCTCCATAGGGATTTACTACAGTCATAATCCAGACAGCTGTATATACAATGCATATGTTGAAATTTCTATTAATTGTTATTCTCAGCATGTATTGAGAGCTAAATGTTTTTCCTGTAGCAGTTCTTTAAAGTCCTGCTAACATTCCAAATGAAAAATGAAGACCATATATTTGAGTTGATTAAATTATATACCTATATAAACAGGGCAAGCTAAAACAAATATTGATCTTCCTTAATCAAAAAGTTAACTCCTTGATAATAAAAATGATCTTTCCAAAAAAATACCAAGTTTGCATAAGGCAGAAAAAAATAAAAGACTGACTTTAAATGGAAACATAATATCAAAAGTCACTATAAAACATTAAGACAAAAGTTGATGAGAATGGGAAGAAAAATATAATTGCATTTGAAAATAATTTCCTACGTAAGAAAATTATCACATTTTAAAAACTCAATGTTTTCCATAAAAATATTTCTGAAGTGAAAATAGTGCTGCTGCTTAGAACTTGACATAAAATTATTTTTGTTTCATAAGCGCATACATGTCAAATTTATTAGAAAATCTCAAATCCATGAAATCTCTTGAGTTTTTAGGTATTAAGATTTAAAATAAAATACAGTATATTTTAACAATAACCTCTATTTGTTTAAATTTACTTTTAAAAATAACAGAAAAATACTGGATATGTTTATTTTAAACTGGGCCCTAAGCTTCATTATTGTAATGTGTTATAATATCTTCACTTTTCGAATTCTAATCAACCTTCACGGCTATCATGACTGCCATCTCTGTGCTTATTTTAAACTACCTCCCAATTGACACTGCACCCTGATGCTCTGCATTCATATATTTAACATGGTATTGAACTACTCCAACTGAGCATCTTGCCTTCACCTCAGAGTCAACAGTTCATGACCCATCTCATCAAATTCCTCTTAAAACTAGTTTTTTAGATTCTTTATTTTTGTGATTGCACTGCTCTCCTAAATCACAAAGCCTGAATAAATAAATAAATGAGTTTTAAGTCATTTTAATATGGCCTCATCAAAACAGTCCATTGGGATTTGGGAAATCTATTCTTCTATGTAATTTTTGAGTCTCTCTCTTCCCAGTCATTCCCATGAACAACCACCTTAGTTTAAGTCTGATCGTCTTTTCACGTGGATGACTGTGGCAGTTTCTTAACTGATCTCTCTTTCTTCATTCATGAGAATTAGGAATAGATACACAGAGTCTCATTAGACATTCTCAGAGGACTGTACGTCATATATGGGCTTAAAGCCACAATGTAGGGATAGTCACGATGGACCAACCACGAGCGAGTGGGCAGTGAGACATTTGTTGAAACATTAACCATCTGTTTGTTTTCTGCCATGTTTTAGCAAAAGAAATGGAACACTAACATTTTATTGGGAAGACTAACTTCCTGTTTTGGGTCCAAGAACAAATCAGATCGTTTATCCTCATAGGATATCATCCAGATCTTTGTGTATCTGTCTAAGCATTTCATGTCTATATTGTGTGATGACTATGCTATGCTATTTCTGGTTCAATGCTCAATAAACTCTCCTTTCATGCCCAGATTTCCATAAACATCAGTGTTTTTTCTCTGGATTCTATCCTCAAACTAATACAAATAATTTTTTCTATATCTATTGTAAAAAATTTCAACACTAACTAAACCCTTTAGCCAAATGGATTAAAGTGTTTGCTTTCTCTCTGTTCACTTGCACATGCTATTTCTTACATAGGCAATGTCCTTTGCTCTTTCCCTGCCAAAACATGGCTCAAAGCTTTCATCACGAATCTCTGATGATTGACCTAAATATGTGCAATATCTGACAAAAAATCAATGGGCATATGAGTGTATGTTAGGGAATATGAGAAGTGACGAGAAAAGAAAGAGAGAAATTAGGCATGTTATATCCTAATTCATTAGTCTTTATTTCAACCTAAGTCCATAATCTTTGTGATATGCACTCAAGTGAATAAATTACACTGATTTTAAATTAAATTAAGGACCTAGCACGAGGAACTAAAATTAATATTAAGAAAAATAACTAAAAATATGCATAGAAGAAAATCATAGAAATTTTGAATAGTAAAGAAGTAATTCCTTGGGAAAATATTAATGTTCAGATGTACATTTATTTTTTTCTGTATAACTCCCTTTCCCAGTATGATAAAAGATGAATGTTCAATAAACACTGGTTGACTGAATGACTGAATGGATGAATCAACGAGAGCTAAGCATAAATTAATCTTATAACTGAAATTAATTAAATGATAATTAATTTGGGCGGCAAATATAAACATCAAGAATTCCTTTCTATAGTGACTCTCCACTGCATATATAATAACTTCAATGCCTTAGCTTGGCATCCAAAGTCTCCCGTACCATGGCCCTAATTTTATGTGAACCTTGCATTATTCTCTTTGCTAGTATTTAAGCCAATTTCCTCTCACTTGGTCATGTCTTGTGTTATTCAGCCTTTAAACCTGAACTCATTCTGACTGCTCTACTTCCATCATCCTTGACTCCTACTCATTAGGTAAGAAAAGCTTTAAATTATACGTGCATGTGTGTATGCACGTGTGTGTGTGCGCGTGTGTGTATATATACATATATGTATACATCTCTCTCTCTCTCAAGGCTTAAGCATATTTTGAACGTATTTATATGATGTATTTAAATGAATCAATGGTCAGGAAGCAATTGAATACATATAGGAAGAAAGAGAACGGAATAACTGATGACTGATTTTGGAGGATTTGAGAGAAAATGAGATCAATAATAGAAGGGATAGTTAGGTTTGAAGGGTGGAAGCATTCCATTGAACTGAGACTAATAGGCAATGATGGGGTTGGGGAAGATATGGACATCATTTTCTTGGGAATAGGATTTTTACTAAATTAACTTTGAGAAACTGAGTCTTTGTTTTCTCCATGAGGTTTAGGGAACTGCATCTCCTTAGATTGAGGAAAGCGTGGATGGGCTTAATATTATGTTGCCATTGAGAAATATCTGGAAAATATTAGATAATGTCCCAAAGGCACTTTAAACTAAATATATCAGAAATGAATTAGAAATTTCCTCCTAAAATTTTTATATTCTGATTAATAGCCCAGTTTCCATTCAGTCAATCAAATAATAAAATTATCATAGGCCATTCCTTTCTCCTTATCTCCACATTAAAAAAAAAAACATTTATTTTCATGGATCTGTAGATTGGCTGAGGGTGGCTGAACTAGGCAGGGCGTGACTAAATGGTTCTGCTGGTCTTGGTTACATTCACACATGTGTCTGCAACTTGCTGGGCTCAGCTGATCCAGGCTGGGTGGATTTGTTTCATGTGTTTCTCATCCTCACCCCGGACCCGTGAGTCTTTCTCATGGTGCTAGCAGAGTTGCTTGAGGGGAAATCCAATCATTCAAACACTTTCAAGCCCCTGCTTGCATTATACCTATTAATATGCTATTGACCAAAGAAAGTCACATGGCTGAGACAAGAGTTGAGATACAGGGGTTACTCTTTGCCCACAGTAAGAGAGCCCTATAAAGTTACATGGCAAAGGGCATATATGCAGGAAGCAGTAAAGAATTGGGAGCCACATGGCACAGGGCATATATACAGGAAGCAGTGAAGAACTGGGAGGATTAATACAATTTACCACTAACAGCTAGATCACACTCTCATTCAACATGTGCGCTACAGAACATAAGGCTGGAAAGAACAATGCTTTTGGAATTTAAACAAACCTAGATTCAGATCTTGGATCTGCTTTTTATTTGCTCAGTTTTGTCAACTCTAAAATGGGGATAGTAAAAATACCTACTTCTTTTTTTCCCAGTTTTGTTGAGATATAATTGACATAACATTGTGTAAGTTTAAGGTGTACAACCTGTTGATTTGATACATTTATATATTGCAAAATCATTATCATCACAGCTTTAGTTAGCACCTCCATCATGTCACATAATTGCCATTTCTGTTTTGTGGTGAGAACATTTAAGATCTACTCACTTAGCGACTTTCAATTATACAATACAGTATTATTAGCTATAATCAACATGCTGTACATTAGAGCCCAAGAATTTATTCATCTTATAACTGCAAGTTTGTACACTTTGACCAACATTTCCCCATTTCCCCGACCCTCTAGCCCCTGGTAACCATCACTCTCTTATTGCTGTGAGTTTGGCTTTTTTCAATTCATACATAATTGATATCATACAGTGTTTGTCTTTCTCTGTCTTACTTCACTTATCACAATGCCCTCAAGATTCATCCAAGTTGTCACAAATGGCAGGATTTCCTTCTTTCTCATGACTGAAGAATATTTCATTGTATACCACGCCATTCATCCACTGACAGACATTTAGGTTGTTTCCACAGCTTGGCTCTTGTGAATAATGCTACAATGAACATGGGAATGCAGATATCTCTTTGAGATCCTGTTTTTACTTCCTTTGGATGTATACTCAGAAGTGGGATTGCTGAGTCATACGGTAGTTCTGTTTTTAATTTTTTTGAGGAACCTCCATACTGTTTTCCATAGTAGCTCAACCAGTTTATATTCCCCTAACAGTGCACAAGGATTCCCTTTTTTCCATATCCTCTCCAAGACTTACTTGTTATCTCCTGACTTTTTGATGATAGCCGGTCTAACAGGTTTGAGGTGATATCTCACTGTGGTTTTGATTTGCATTTCCCTGATGATTAATGATGAAGAGCATCTTTCATGTATCTGTCGGCCATTTTTATGTCTTTTTTGGAAAAATGTCTATTCAGTTCTCTGCCCACTTTTAAATTAGAGTGTGTTTTTTTTCTAAGTTGTATGAGTTCTTTATATATTTTGGATATTAACTCATTATCATATATATGATTTACGAATATTTTCTCCCCTTCCATAGGTTGCTTTTTCATGTTGTTGATGGTTCCTATTGCTGTGCAGAAGCTTTTTAGCTTGTTGTAGTCTCACTTATTTATTTTTGCTTTTGTTGCTTGTGTTTTTGGTGTCATATCCAAAAAATTGTTGACAACTCCAATGTCAAGGAGATTTTTCTCTATGTTTTCTTCTAGGAGTTTTATAGCTTCAGGTCTTATCTTTAAGTCTTTAAACCATTTCAAGTTAATTACTGTGAGTGGTGTAAGATAGGGGTCTAATTTCATTTTTTGGCATGTCATTATCCAGTTTCCTCAACATAATTTATTAAAGAGACTGTCTTTTCTCCATTGAGTATTCTTGGCTCCCTTGTCAAATATTAGTTGACTGTATATGTGAGGCTTTATTTCTGGGCTCTTAATTCTGTTCCAGTGGTCTATGTGTCTATTTTTATGCCAGTAACAAACTGTTTTGATTAGTGTAGCTTTGTAGTATAGTTTGAAATCAAGAAGTGTGACGCCTCCAGCTTTGTTCTTTCTCAGGACTGCTTTGGCTATTCAGAGGCTTTTGTGGCTCCACACAAATTTTAGGATTGTTTTTCTATTTCTGTGAAAAATGCCATTGGAGTTTTGATAGCGATTCCACTGAATCTGTAGATGGCTTTGAGTAGTATGGATATTTTAACAATATTCATTTTTCCAATCCATGAACACAGGTTATCTTTCCATTTGTTTGTGTCTTCTTCAATTTCTTTCATCAAAGTCTTGTAGTTTTCAGTGTACGGATCTTTTACCTTCTTGGTTAAATTTACTCCTCAGTATTTTATTGTTCTTGATGCTATTGTGAATGGGATTGTTTTCTTTATTTCTTTTCCAGATGTTTTGTTGTTAGTGTATAGAAATGCAACTGATTTCCATAAGTTGATTTGGTATCCTGTAACTTTACTGAATTTTTTGATGGAGTCTTTAGGATTTTCTATATTAAGATCATGTCACCTGCAAACAAAGACAGTTTTCCTTCTTCCTTTCCAATTTGGATGCCTTTTATTTCTTTGTTTTGCTTGATTGCTACTGGAAGTACTAGGATTTCCAGTACTATGTTTACTAGGAGTGGTGAGAGTGGGCATACTTGTCTTGTTCCTGATCTTAGAGGAAAAGCTTTCAACCTTTCATCACTGAGTATGATGTTGGCTTTGGGCTTGTCATTTATGGCTTTTATTATTTTGAGGTATGTTCCTTCTGCAGCCAGTTTGCTGAGCCTTTTTATCATGCAAGGATGTTGTATTTTGTCAAATGTTTTTTCTCCATCTATTGAGATAATCATATGATTTCTATTTTTCATTTCATTAACGTGGTCTATCACATTTATTGATTTGCATATGTTGATCCATCTTTGCATCTCAGGGATAAATTCTACTTGATCATGGTGTATCATCTTTTTAATGTGCCGTTGAATTTGGTTTGCTAATATTTTGTTGAGAATTTTTGCATTTATATTCATTAGGGATATTGGTCTGTAATTTTCTCTTCTTGTAGTTCCTTATCTGGCTTTGGTATCAAGATAATGCTGGCCTCCTAAAGTCTTATCTCCACCTCTAATTCATTTTTGATCTTTTTAAGTCTTTCTCAACTTTGCCTAGTTCCTGCTCTCTGCCCAGTCACTGCTATCTAGACTCCCACACAGCTTGAATGGATGTATTCCTGCCTAAAGTATTGCTCCTAACCCCTAACTCATTACTGTCTCACATTCTATCCCAAGCTCTAAGCTTATCTAGGTGCTATACCAAACATTTTTTTCTTTCCAAGAGGAATTCTGGTAACAACTGTTGAGATAATACACTTTGACCTCTGATACATTTGTTTATATGTCAATCACCTCCATTTGAGTTTGTATTTCTTAAGGGCTATTTGTTTTTCATCTCACATGCTTAGCATCAAACACATGGTAGACAGTCAAAACAATGTTAAATAAAAAAAGGAATGCATTTTTCAGGTCTAATGTTTTGGATCTGACTATGTTGCAGAAGGATATATGAGACTAAAGGACATCCTCTCTTAGAGTTAAGTAGAATAAAGGTGTAACTGGTGTCATGCTGTTGAAGGATAAGCAAGGAGCCATTTTCTTTTCAATCTCTCTACTGGGTTGAAAGCCCTTATCTTGCCAAATATTGAACTCCATTAATGATCAAATCCCATTAAGTCCATTTTAAAACTTCAATTTCAACCTCCAGGATAGGCTAGAAGTGCAAAAGAGAAGTGGAGAGAAAGTTTTTATTCTTCCCCAAACACTGTCTTCTTCCTTTTGCCTGGCCCTCTCCAAAGATGTTTCCTTTTGTTATTGGCCTTGGCAAGTAGGCTGTTCTTTTTTTTTAATTAGTCCTAACTTTAACTGACTTATTTAAAAGATTCCACATGAGTGATTGTGAAGCTGCTTGGCCTTTTTTGTTTGTTATCACTGTCTATCTAGTTGGGTAAGCCTCACACTTGAGAGGGTCGACTCCAAGCAGCTCCCTTTGGCATGGTGGACTCCACTGAGATTTGTTGTGACTTAGCTGCCTCCCAGTTGGCAGCATCGATCCTCCTTCTCCTGATATCCAAATAGCCTCCCTCCATGCTTTGGTGATGCCCACCAAGCCTCAGGTCTTTGTTTTTACTGACCTTTTGGGAAGTAAAAACCTAAGAGAGTGATCCTTACCCCATCCCCAGACTCACCACTATTTCCTGTCAATTCTTGAAACACAAGAAAACCCCAAATTAAATTGTCTGACAAAATGAGGAGGGAAATTATAACTACTTTGAGATATTTTTCAAATAAAATCCTCTCTTAGTCAATATAACGAACAATAATATATCAGTTGTGTATTAAATAAGACAGCATGTCACATATTTAATAATGCTAAGATTTATTCTTTTAGAGTTTAAGGCTATGTGGACAGATGTCAAAGGAAAAAACCTTGACTTTGTGAACTTCTCTTTTTAATGTTTAATTCCATCCCTATTCTAAAGGAAATTTAATTTAAGAGAATTATATCCATATGATTCAAGTTCATTTGTATTTAACTGATCAATGTGTTGTTTTACAAGGCCTGTTTGATGTCAAGAAAGCAAAGCCCCTTTTCCCCCTAGGCTTTGAAATGCATTTTTCCCCCTTAGAAGTATTTGGCAGTTTATAAACCCCAACTACCAAAGACTGAACTTTGCTTTAAAATTCAGAGCATTAAAACACGGAACAGCATCCAAAAGGGCAGTAAATTTCAATTGAGAAAATAGTCTTTAACATAATTATTTTTCATGTCTTTCTGTTTATTTTAATTTTTAATTACAAAACCAATTCCTTAAGCAAAAGAAATATCTTAGTGAAAGCATTAGAGGAAAGAAAGCTCCATCATATTAGAAAAAGAAGAGTAATAAATAATTCATTAGAAAAGAGAACTTTGAAAGGTTGGTGTCTTTGCCTTTTTTAATTATCTCCTCCAAAGAAAAGGAAACACGTTACATTGAGAAAAACACGGACTTTGAAGTCAGATAGTTTATGCTACTCTAACTTAATAGACACATGAATTCAGAAAAGTTTCCACCTTTGTTTCATTGTTTTAAAAAATGTGTATAACATCACTAATCTCTAAATGTGCTTAACATGAGGTCTCGCCTTTCCCTCCACCCATCTTTCCCTTTGTACCTGGGATGATCTCACACCTACCTTTAATTCTGTAGCCCTTGAGTCCTTCCCAACGTACTTGGCTTTGAGAAACATTTCTTACAAAGTCTTTCCCACTTTTCCTTTTGGAGGAGGGAGGGCGGGCTTCGCCAAAATTACTCATACATTTTTGTTATGTGCTATAGAGACTATCAATCTTGAAGCTGATTGTGTTCTTCATTGATTTTAATACAGGGATGCTTAAAGGTAAATTTCAAAACCACTTTTAACAACTCTACAGGAACACATAATTTCTATTTCTATGTGCTGACTTGAGTTTTTTTCTAGTCTTTATTTCTCCTTCACTTTGATTGCCTTAACAATTTACTATTGTTTTGAATCAGACATATTTTGTAAGGTCTTTTGGATCATTCAGGGTAAAAACATATGAATAAATGCACACACATATACATAAAGAGTTCTGAGGCTAGACCTGTACAGTACAGAAGAGGCTAAAACCTGCCTGGAGAATTCAGACTATAACAGAGCAAGAACAGAAAATCCCAGAAAAAGTGATTAAGACCATGTTTATATTGAAAGCTAATATCCATCTCTCTCATTCATGATTTGCCAAAGCATTTTTTAACTCTGCTTTAAAATGTGGCTTTTTTTTATATCCATTTGGCACATTTTTACAGACTAACTTAGCAACTTCCAAATCCAGACAGCTCAGGTATATAAGCAATCAGTCAACACTACACCGGGAGCCTGGGCAGTCTCATAGGGAAACAAATGTCTGAGATGCCACTTGTGACCATTCTTCTGACTTGGGTTGGGGCAGGAAGGGAGAAGCAGCTGTCTTTCTTCAAGACTCCATTTTTTCTTATATTTTTCCCCTTGGCCCCTTTTTATTGTGATTATCATATTGTCTAAGAGGTAGGAGGTGGAGAATAAATGTTGATTGAATGAAA